AAATCACTCAATAAGGTCCTTGGTTTAGGGTGACCCTTTTTTTTTGTAAGCATTTTGTCAGGTTAAGGGACCAGTGTTTCTTTTTATAATAAATTTGGGTGGGACATTGTCTTAGTTCCTTTTGTGCTGCTATAATGAATACCTGAGACTGGATAATTAATAAAGAAAGGAGATTTATTTCTTACAGTTCTGGAGGCTGGGAAATCCAAGATTGAGGGGCCAACATCTGGTGAGGGCCCTTATGCTACATCATCTCATGGTAGAAGATGAAAGGGCAAGAGAGAGCAAGAGTTGGGGAGAACTCACTTTTGTAACAAACCTACTTCTAAGATAATAAACTCATTCCTGTGATGACATTAATTCATTCATGAGGGTAAAGCTCTCATAACCCAGTAACCTCTCAAAGAGTCCACTTCTCAGCACTGCATTGGGGATTAAGTTTCCAACACTTTGGAGGACGTGTTCAAACCATAGCAGCTGGAGGCTGAGCAAGATGGCTGAATAGAAGCGTCCAGTGATCATCACCCCCACAGGAACACCAAATTTAACAGTTATCTAGGCAAAAAAAAGTACCTTTATAAGAACCAAAAATCAGATGAGCAGTCACAGTACCTGTTTTAAACTTCATATCACTGAAAGAGGCATGGAAGAGGGTTGAAAGACAGTTTTGAATTGCTGATACCACCCCTCTTCCATGCCTCAGCAGCAGCTATGTGGTGAGGGGAATCTGTGCACTTGGGGGACGGAGAGCACAGTGATTGTGGGACTTTGCATTGAAGCTCCGTGCTGCCCTGTCACAGTGGAAAGCAACACTGAGAATAAGCCAGTGCTCATGGAGGGGGCATGTAGGCTAGCCCTAGCCAAAGGGGAATTGTCCATCCTAGCAGTTGGAATTTGAGCTCTGGCAAGCCTTGCCACTGTGGACTAAAGTGCTCAGGGGTCCTAAATAAACTTGAAAGACAATCTAGGCCACAAGGACTACAACTCCTAGGCAAGTCCTAGTGCTGTGCTGGGCTCGGAGCCAGTGGACTTAGAGGGCATGTGACCTAGTGAGACACCAGCGGGGGCAGCAAAGGGAGTGCTTGTGGTACCCCACCTCCAACTTCAGGCAGCACAGCTCACAGCTCTGAAAGAGACCCCTTCTTTCTGCTTAACAGGTGAGGGAAGAGTAAAGAGAACCTTTTCTTGCAGCTTGGATACCAGCTTAGCCACAGAAGGATAGGGTACAAGGCAGAGTCCTGAGACTCATTCCAGGCCTTAGCTCCCAGATCACATTTCTAGACACACCCTGGGCCAGAAGGGAACCCACTGCCTTGAAATGAAGGACCCAGTCCTGGCAGGATTCATCACCTACTGACTAAAGAGCCCCTGGGGCCTGAATAATCAGCAGCAGTACCCATGTAGTACACACGTGGACCTTTGGTGAGACTCTGAGATCTGCTGGTTTGAAGTGTGGCCTAGCACATTCACAGCTATGGTGGCTATGGCAAGAGATTCTTTCTGCTTGAGAACAGCAGAGAGAAGAACAAAGGGGTCTTTGTTTTGCAGCTAATTTAGCTTGACCACAGGGTGGTAGAGCACCAAGTAGGTTCTTGGGCTCCCTGATTCCGGGCCTTGGCTCTTCGATGGCATTTCTGGACCTGCCCTTCGCCAAAGGAGAGTCTGTTGCCCTGAAGGATGATTCCCAGACCTGGCAGCATTCACCACAAGCTGATTGAAGAGCTCTTGGACCTTGAGTGGGCGTTGGCAGTAGCTTGGAAGTACTCCTTATGGGCCTGTGGCAGTGGTGGCCAGGAGGAGAGACTCCTCTGCTATGGAAATGGGAGGCAAGAGTGGGAAGGACTTTATCTTGTGCCAGTTCAGCCTCAATAGAATAGAGTGCCAGGTAGATTCCTAAGGTTTCCAACTCCAGGCCCTGGCTTCTGTACAGCATCTCTGGATCTTCCCAGGACCTGGGGGAGCTTGCTGTCTTGAGGAGAAGAACACGAGCCTGGCTGGCTTCACTACCTGCTTATTGTAGAGCCCTAGGGCCTTGAGCAAACATAGGCAGTCGCCAGGTAATGGTTACAGCAGGTCTTGGGTGATACTCAATGCTGTGCTGGCTTCAGGTTTGACCTAGTGCAGTTCTAATGGTAGTGGCCACAGGGGTGCTTGTGTCACTTCTCCCCCAGTGTTAGACAGTTCAGCACGGAGAGACTTTGTTTGTCTGGGAGAAAGTAAGAGAAGACAAGAGTCTCTACATAGTAATCTAGAGAATTCTTCTGGATTTTATCAAGCCCACAAAGGTGGTGCCTCTGAGTCTGCAAGAGCCACAGTGTTACTGGGCTTGGGTGCCCCCTAATGCAGATATAGCTGCAGTGACCAAAAACTTAGATCACAACACCTAAAGCCCTTTAAATACCAGGAAAGCCTCTCAAGAAGGACAGGTACTAGTAAGTCCAGACTGCATAGACTAAAGTAAATAACTAACTCATTAATGCCCAGACACTGAAGAACATCCACAAGCATCAAAACCATCCCAGAAAACATGACTTCAGCAAACAAACTAAATAAGGGACCAGAGACCAACCCTCGAGATACAGAGACATATGACCTTTCAGATAGATAATTCAAAACAACGGTTTTGAGGAAACTCAAAGAAATTTAATATAACACAGAGAAGTAATTCAGAATCCTATCAGTTAAATTTAACAAAGAGATTGAAATAAAAAGAATCAAGCAGAAATTGTGGAGTTGAAAAATGCAGTTGACATAATGAAGAACATGTCAAAGTGTCTTAATAGTAGAATTGATTAAGCGAAAGAAATAAAGAGCTTAAAGATAGGTATTCGAAAATATACAGTCAGAGGAGACAAAAGAAAACAGAATAAAAAAGAATGAAGCACCCCTACAGGATTTAGAAAATAGTCTCAAAAGGGTAAATCTAAGAGTTATTGGCCTTCAAGAGGAGGGAGGGAAGGAGGGAGGGAAGGAGGAAGCGAGGGAAGAAAGGAGGAGGAGGAGAGAGAGAGAGAGAGAGAGTTTATTCAAATGGATAATAACAGATAACTTTCCAAAGCTAGAGAAGTATATCAATATTCAAGTATAAGAAGGTTATAGAACACCAAGCAGATTTAACCCAAAGAAGACTACCTCAAGGCATTTAATAATCTAGCCATAGCAGACCTAAAGCTTGCTTTGTACTTCAACTAAACTTTATTATATAAACATTTTCAGGAAAGAAAACTTTATTTTATGTAGAATATAAGAATGTTCATAGGTCAGTACGGAGAGGGCATTTTGTCCCATTACTCTTCAGCACTCATATTAAGATGATTTTATTCTTCTGAATTTCTAAGAAGAAGTTTTCTCCCTTATTGTAAAAACGCAGATTTCCCGAGTGTCCTTGAATGATTTATTCATGATCTACTTGTGTAGTAGCAAAAGAAAAGAATTATACATTACATTTTTTTTTATCTTGTGCAAGAGAGGAATTTAAAAAAATATATTTAGTAAGACCTTTAATAAAATTTTTAATGAGTTGTCTTTCCAACTCATAGTCATTACAAAGACTACTGTCTCTTCTATTATCATGACTCAGAACACTGTATTTCTTTTCCTAGCTGTCATATGTGTTGTTTCCACATTACTTTTGGTCTTTAAGTTAAATCTTCCTCTTCTGTTAAAGAAAAACCAAGTTGTACCCATATGTAAGTTGGTACTTAAATTACCCCTTGATAAATGTCATAAATATATTAATAACATTTTCTCCAAGATTTAAACATGAGATATCACCAGTACTCTGAGCTGAATAAAGTTGCTCTATCATTAAGAAAATTTCCCCTTTCTTCCTTTATTACTGCCTTCCCCACTTCTCCATAAGTTTTAATAATAGAATATTTGAAGAATGGATAAATGTCATATAATTTTTTATCTTGTATCTTTCTCTCTCTTATTAAACCCTAAATTCTATAAAGACAGAGGCTATACCTTTCTTGTTTATCTTTGTATGCTTAATGCCTAAGATTGGTATATAGTAGGAATTCAGTAATTTAGTTGAATGAATGAATAGTAGGACGTATAATATGAATGCTGCTCTTAGAAATTGGCTTTGTTGAAAATCTATTTCTTGTATATTGAAATATTTATGTTACTAAATACAATGAGGAGAAATAACAAGAAAAGAATATTTCCAATATGAATATTTTAAAACTGAATTTGCTACTTGCTTTTTAACACTTAAAGAATAGTCCAATCAGCAATCAATTTAAAGTAGTTTTTGAAACTCAATTTTTTGGATTAATACTTGGAGCTACATTTGATCATGTGACCTTTATTAGCTCAACTAACGTAATTTATGGCCCAACTAAATTAAAGTAGTTTGAAGGCATAACATGGAAATACTCATACTTTTACCATGAGTATCAGTTTTAAGAGTTTTAATTGAAACATGATGTAGACTATGTAGATAATAGCATTTTTATTGTTTATTTCAAATTGTAACTTGAGAATTTTAAGGATTGAAGAATATTTCCAAGTATAACAGAAAATTATATACTCTTGGGTTCAGAAATTATTATTTAAGCAAAATAGTGCAGTATAAAAAGCCTGACTAATCAGAAACACAAGGACCACAGTAAGTGTACATAACTCCCCCAAACAGTGGTAGTGTAGACTGTTCATTTAATTAAAGGTATGTACAAACACTGCAGTTACTTAGGAGACATGATAAAAAAGCAACAACAACAACAACAAAAAAACTAACTACCATGTGGGTCTTGATAAGGTAGAAAGTAGTCATAAATTTAAATTTGATATATTATGAACTTTAATATGGCCGCTTGTTTAGAAAGGCTATTAATACTTGGCCATACAGCAGCATACTTGGAGAATAAAATTCTACTCAAGGTTTCATAATGTCTTTTCGGCTCTACCTAATTGTAGTATCTCTGTTACTATTTGCCTAACTTTTGTCCCTTTGTGACTTGAAGGGTATATTTTCATCCTATATTTTTCTCTAGGCATCCACAAGGACAAAGATAAACCTCCCAGCTTCTCTGTTGTCCTTGAGACGTTGAGGCGTACCTTGACAGATTACCAGAACAAGCTGGAAGATGCATCTAATGAGGTAACACTTGCACTGTTTGGCTGCACACATATAGCCTTCGGCCTGTACCAGTACGTATTCCTTGCTTGTTACAAAGGTCAAAAAGATTGGGAATGTTGAACTGACAGCTTCACAGATACAAAAAATAATACATTATCTTTCACTGTTCTTTCTTTAAGTGTGGCCTAAAGTCATGTCTCACTTACGTTTTTGTAACTCTTCAGTCACACTATTGTTTTTAAAATTTTAAAGACTCTATCACTTCTTGATCTTCATAATTTATCTGTCTTAATGAAAACACTATGCAAGTAGTTTAAGTTAATATGTACTGTATTTAAATGTTAATGTGTTTTTACAACGTTTGGTATAGCTACTGGAAATTTAGGTTTTGTCAGTGTTTTAGGTTAAGATTTCTACAAACTGTGGAAGTCTTAATAAAAAAGAGAGAAATTAGTTTTCGTTCTCTAAAGGGAGTAAAGTGTTGTTAGAAGTTTTTAAAAAACAAATATCTGTTTGATGTAGCCTGGGAGCTTTTAGTTTGCTGATTGAAAAAGCTCATGCTTCTATTTATCATCTCATTTGTATTGTTTAATGTGTGGGTTGATAATTTTCTTGGGTATTAAAATGTTTTATGAATTTGTGCTTTAAAAATTGAAGAGTTTGTCTAGTTACATCTTGTCAAATTAGCCTATGAAGTAATTACATTAAATACAATTAGTTAGCAAAGCAACAAACAGATTGTTAGAGTCAAAGACAAGAGACGTAGCAAGGAATTTGGAGTTTATCCTTGTGTTTATCTCTTTCTTTCATATAATATAAACACCACAGAACGGTTACATTTCACATTTCAGATGCGGCTTATTTTATTTTAGCTTGCTAAGATGAACAAAGAAGGAAAAGTGAGTCTTCTTAATACCCTCGGTAATTGTTCAAAAGGCATAAAAGAAAATGACCATCGAAATAATTAAATTTCTATGAAGAACAAATATTATGAAGTCTTTCCCAGTGAGACAAGACAACCTGTATTGTTAGTAGTTTATGAAACTCTTCTGAGGCCTAGGTCTGGAAGCTGCAGGGTAACTAGGAACATATTACCCACAGCGAATTGTTATTTGGGAGGATGAATGTCACATGATCCTCAGCACAGTTGAAAAGTCGACTCAGCAGGCTTTGGCTTAGTAATGCGCTTTGTTGTGAACCAGTGCCAGAGACAGCAGTGGGGAGACCAAGGGGGTGGCTGCAAAGAAAGCAAAAAGAGCAGTCTGACAGAAAGAAGAATGAACTGTCAAAGAAAATAAATCACAAGCGGTGCAGGACCAACTGATGACCTGCCACAAGCCTTCCCAGTAGGACTGCATGTGACCGACCCTGAAGTTGTCATATGGAGTGAGAGACCAGTGAATACCCTCATGATGTATAGAAAGAACAGTCTTCAGCTCTGTTCTCTTTTCTTTACTTGTAGATGCCCCTGCTTCTGGCATTTTGGTCCAGTAAGATTTTAAGAATAAAGTTGTATTTGTTTACAACAAGAATGAAATCCTTTATCTGAATGTGTGGTAAAAATACAGTAACATCAGTGATATTTTAAGCTTGAATGCTTTCTTTTCTTTTTAGCTATGTGAACTTGTGACAGAAGCTATATAGTATTTAACCAAAAGAAATAATTTTTTGAAGACTCTTAATTACTATTGAAAAATTTATATTTAAGTAATTGCATAAAAAGCACTTAAAGATTAACTTTTGAGGTACTCTCCTTGAAAAATGTAAAAAAGTTACTTACATTTTCTTTCATCAGCTAAACAGCATGAACGATGCTAGGGAAAAGGCATGTAATGAACTTGATTCTACGAAACAGAAGATAGACTCTCACACTAAAAATATAAAGGTATTATTTAGAATAACTTTTACCTTTTGTATTAAGAAACAAATGTAGTTATCTAGGGAATATTTTAAAGTAGAGATATTGAGGTACCTGAAAATATATATTTGTATTTTTTAAACTATGTATGGATAGAATTTTAATTTTTTCTTGTTGATTAAGAGTAACAAGAATGTTTTTTTCATTTAAAAAATTAAAACTTGATTGGAAATTGTTTTGGTTAAAGGAAAATTTGTTTCCTAGATTCAATAATAATACCTTATGAGATTCAAATAATTATTTAAGATGAAATGTCCAGCCTTAGGTACATATTAAACATATTTTGCATAAGCACATCCGTATTTGGAGTCAGTTTTCATCATTTTAGGGTGGAGCCATTGTTTTCAGTACATCGTGTCTGTTAATGGGCTGAGACCACACCTGGCTAAGGCCCAGGACTATAGTTTATTTTAGTTTCTGTGCTGGTTTTATGTACTACATCTTTGCAAAATTATACTGAGTCAGCTCTCAGAAGTTTCTCAGTATTGTTGGAATTTTATTTTGTTGTTTCATGTTGGGTTTGTCATGGACACACTTCAATAGAATTTGTTAGGTTTAAGGAATAAACAGTTCAGCAGAACTTTGTGCCACATATTTGAGATTTCTATAAGTGGTTGGCATGTCATTGGAAAGTAAATGTGCTTATATTAAATGTAAGATATTTATTTTAAAATATTTAAAAAATTTTGAGCTACAACATTGTTTTAAAAAAATAGGTTGAAAGGAAACTGCCTTGAAAGAACTTTTTGGAATAAGTCATCATATTAACATTTTATATAACTGTTTAAACATAACAAATGTTCTAATTTTTGAGCTAAGATATTATATTTAGAAAATACATTCAGTAAAATATTTTAATGTAAACAGATGCTTTCCTGCCTTTGCGATTCTTTCATTGTAAAGCTTTGAAAATTTTCAGTATGTATTTTATACTAGTGTCCCCTCACCCCTTGTTGGCTGGCCTTTCTACAATCTCTTTATTTGGTATCTATGACAGGAACTTCAGGATAAACTGGCTGATGTCAATAAAGAGTTAAGTCATTTACGCACTAAATGTGCAGACCGAGAGGCTTTAATCAGCACTTTAAAAGTGGAACTACAAAATGTGCTGCACTGTTGGGAGAAAGAAAAGGCTCAAGCAGCCCAGTCTGAAAGTGAACTGCAGAAGCTTTCCCAGGCTTTCCATAAGGATGCTGAGGTATTACCTGAGACTCAATGACTGTCAGGAAAGGCCTTTCACTAATCTCAGTGTTATACATCAAGTGACTATTTTTACTTGTATTTAATTAAGAAAATTGTTCTGAGCAGAGTATTTTGAAATGTTCGTGACAGCTGCAGAATCACTCACTTCATTACTCTTGTGTCATTCTCTCTTGTGAGAGAAGTACTATAACTTGCACAACTCATTTTCTTGATTATCGTTTGTACAACTATCTTTTTTGACTTTTAGAACATTGTAACTCAAGTAACTATGCTCCTAACAGTCCTTTCAAGGTTTGCCTGTTTGCCAATGACAAAATTATTTTTTATTTCAGTAGCTTGGTAGATTGATATGGTGCAAAGAATAAGTATTTCATAATCAGATAGACCTGAACTTGGATCCTGATACTTCTGTTTATAAATGGTTTGGCTGTGGACAAGCTATACAACTTAGCCTCTCCACATCTTAGTTTTCTTATTTATTTTTTTTCTTTTTTGAGACAAAGTCTTGCTCTGTCGCCCAGGCTGGAGTCCAGTGGCGTGATCTGGGCTCATTGCAACCTCCACCTCCCAGGTTCAAGCGATTCTCCTGCCTCAGCCTGCTAAGTAGCTGAGATTACAGGTGTCCACCGCCATGCCTGGCTAATTTTTGTATTTTTAGTAGAGATGGGGTTTCACCATGTTGGCCAGGCTGTTCTCGAACTCCTGACCTCAGGTGATCTGCCCACCTCGGCCTCCCCTCCTAAAGTACCGGGATTACAGGCCTGAGCCACTGTGCCCGGCCTAGTTTCCTTATTTGTAAAACAGTAATAATATCTACTTTAACAGATAGCCTCCTTACTCTGTGTGATTATAGAATGTTAATAAAATTTAGAAAAATAAAAGTCCCATAAAATTAAAACTTTTCATTTAGACCCCCTGGAGAGTTGCCTATCCATTTGTGTTTATTAATGGCTTATAAAAATATTATGGCACAAATTTCATATTTCGTATGAGCCTGTGTGAATGGAATTATCTTCTAGTTCTTTTTACCCTATGGATTATAGAGCTAGTCTAGCTAGTGGAACTGGTTTATCTAAGTCATCCTGCATATTGAGTTCATTACTCCAACAAATATGAACATGAATGCCAAGAGAGTAAAAAGGAAACATTCTTTCCACTCTTTTTACAGTCTGGGATTTAAATTGTGTCCACATGAAGGGGTTGGAATTGCTCTACACATCAGATAATGATTAAAGTAAAGGAAACTAGAAGCCTGACTGTATTGTAAAGTCAGCATGTCTACAGCACTGTGGTTGGGTTCAACATGTGTGAATTGATTTTGGATTTTGGAGTCTCTTTTCATGCCAAATGGATGATTATCATGCTTGGTTTATCACAGCCCAAGCAAAAAGGACATAATAGCGACACAATGAATTATCCTTAAGGATGAACTTCCTTGAGAACGAATGTGATCAGTAGACAAAACACAGGAGGAAGATTTTTATGTATTTGTTAAGTTATATTTAATAAGACTTTAAAACATTTTGACCTAGTTAAAAAATGCGAAAGTCATCATTAACTGCTTATGAAAAGGCATAGCATATTTGTGAAAAAATCTGATCTCTTAAATTTGTTGTTGTAACTACATTTTTAAATTTTTTGTTTTTTAAATTATTGCTTTTGGAAAAAAAGTAAGGTGGCATACATAGTGAACTAAAGATTTACATTTTGATATTTGTAAGAAAATATTCTCTATAATTTCTAATTATAAAACTTTTGCATATGCCATATTCAGTTTTTAAAAAATGTATAATAGACTTTAAATTTTCTTTTTAAATTTATCCCTTTTAAAAGTTTCTTCCTGCTGATCTATTAAAAAATCTTGAGGGAACTTTTTTATCTATATAAAATAAAAATATTCATTTTGCAGCTTCACAGTTACCTTGTCTTTGAGTTCCATGCTTTGGGACTTTATAGATGAAACACCTTATAAAGAGCGCTGTTTGACATTATAGTAAATAAACCCTCCTCATGTGTTCAAATGTGATCTGCTTTATATGAATTCTGCAGCATAGTGGTTTCTAAGTCATTCAGCAATGGATTATTTAATTACTGAAGTGGTAATATAATTTTAAAGGACTTTTAAAAAACATATTTCTAATTGGACATTTTGAAAAGTATGTCTTAAGCAGCTATATCCATTTTTTTTGCTGTTACTTTATAATATTTAAACACCTACAAATGCCCAGTGTGCCAAATACTATATGAACTTATAAGTGGGGAAAACAAATGAGCCCATCTTCCATATCTTTCATATCACTATCTGCTTTGCCTAAGGGGCTTGGGATAGATTTCCTATAAGTAGTAAGTAAACTGGAATCTCTGGAGGAAGAAGAAAGCTGAGTAATTGTGTCCATGTAAAGTACAGATATTGGTATAACTTTTTTTCATCAGAGTTGAATAACACTATTTTTTTCTGTATTGGTTTTTGACAAGTAGTATCTATTTTGGCAAATGTAAATATTAAATTATAGAATTACTATACTGAGTTACAGTTAGATAGGCTTATAAACAATGAGTCCAATCCAGACACTTCGTGTGATAGCTAAGGAAACTTAGGCCTGAACAGGTGTTTACTCAAATCACAACCTCATCAGTAGCAGAGCTGGGAATGAATCTTGGTCTTCTGGCTTCTAGACTCAGATTTTGATTTTGAATACCAAGTGTAAGCAGTTCCAAATGTTTTATCTGGTGCTTAGTTTTGAATATAAAAAAGTCATTAAAATATTCTGAGACTTGAGTATTATAATTTCCTTTTCAGGTTTTTGAAATTAACTCTTCATCATTTGTATTATGTATTTTACTTCTTACAATGTTTATATACAGCAAATAATTTTTCTTTTTTTTTTTCCTGCAGGAGAAGCTAACCTTTCTTCACACCTTGTATCAGCACTTGGTAGCAGGCTGTGTGCTCATAAAACAACCAGAAGGCATGCTGGATAAATTCTCTTGGTCTGAGCTTTGTGCAGTCTTACAGGAGAATGTTGATGCCCTGATTGCAGACCTCAACAGGGCTAATGAGAAGGTAACTGTCCTCAGGCACCAGATACCTCTATTAAATTCAGTGACATTTGTCCACATCACAGTATCATTAAGAGGGGCTGACATTCATCTTATTTCAAAAAGAATTTGGATGTTAATAATTCAATACCATTAATTATGGCTTGTCTACAACTCAGTTTGATGCCATTGCTGTGGGCATGTAAATGTGACTGAAGTCTGTATGAAGTCTCTAAGCTCCACTTTCTGTGCAGGACATGCTAATACTACTAGCCAGTATTAGCCACAGGGACCTAATTAAAAGAAAATAAATTAATCTTACTGATGAAGCAATTCAAAGAACTTAGTCATTTACATTAATAAACCAACTCTTTATGTTAGCATAAAATAGAAACAGGATACAGTTATTCAAAAACATGATCTTAAAATTCTTTACTTAGGAAATATAAGGTGTTATTTTTAAAAGCACTTAAACATTTTAAATTATATGCTTATGATTTGCTTCTCGAAATACAACAAAGTGTGTATTAGAAAACTCGTTCCGTGCTTTAGAATGCAAAAAGTGTATTTTATAGGAGAATGTAGTAGACCTTTATGGTAACATTACTATCTCACAAGTCTAGGAAATCAGTCTCCAGCAAATATTTAAAAACCTGCTTTTGGTTATAGAAAATTACAGTGGCTTAGCAGATCAACATATACCCCCATTGAAGACATTGGTTCTGATCCTGGGTCTATTGAACGTGGTCAGTACTGTGTTTATGTGGTTTAGTTTCCAGGTCTTAGTTGCAATGACATTTGCTTTTAAGGAACAAGAAGAGAAAAACTGTCCTGTAAGTTAAAAAAAATTCTGTTGAAGTAATAAAACAGCATATTGACCTAATTTCAGGGTGATTTTTTTTATTATTGAGCATTTTATCTTGGTCCTATTGACAAACACAACCATAGACACTGAGATGTAGGGCTAAGAAATGAGGGCATAAATTGTGAGAGGCACAGATGCTACTCATGATTGTGAATGTGTACATAATGGATTTGAAAATTGAAGATAATTAAAATGAATGTATTTTAACCCTATGAGATGGTATTATATTTTTAATAGTTTTCATTGTTTCAAAACATCCTTAATAGTCATACATTTTAGAAAATGATGATTTTCTTTCAGTGTTTGAATATGAAACAAAAAATGGTTAGAACATTCTGCTTTATTTTATGCAAACTGCTTGCAGATTTTTAAATCTTTACTTTCTTTCCCGCTGAGATATTTGAATAGCTTGAGCCTTGGTTCCAGAAGTAACAGTATCTTTCTCAATGTCAATCAAATTAATTATAGAATAAGTAACTTCATTAGAAAGAGAAGATGAAAAATTTGCCATCTAAGTATACAAATAACACAATTTTCTGCTAATGTATGGCAGTTTACCCTGCTATTTTCTTTTTTAAAATTTATTTACATTCTATGTTAAAATTTTTGTATGATCTTAAGGAATAAAATATAGTAGGACATTTTGGGTGTTTTATTAGGGGAGACGACACAAAGAAATAGCTTGTGAGCATATTTCCTTCTCTGTTGCATCTCCCCATATAGATAAGCCATCTAGAGTATATCTGTAAAAACAAGTCTGACACGATGAGAGAGCTTCAGCAGACTCAGGAAGACACCTTTACCAAAGTGGCAGAACAGATCAAAGCCCAAGAGAGCTGCTGGCACAAACAAAAGAAGGAACTAGAGCTGCAGTATTCTGAACTCCTCCTGGAGGTGCAGAAGAGGGCACAGGTATGCTACCTTTACAAAGGGCTTAAAAATGGGTTACTCAGTGTAACCATTAGGAACGTTTTTTTTTTTCTAGTAGCAATGCTAAATCGGTTTAAACTTCTTAAGAACTTCATAGAACTTGTTTAGATGCACATATATATGTTTAGATACACACACATATGTGTGTATGTATGGGTGTGTATATTAAGGATTGTCTTTCATGTAAGTTTGGAAATATATGGGTTTCTGATTAAAATATCCCAAAATGCATTGATCAGTTAATTAAATGCTAAAATTATATTTCCTTTATTTATTTTTAAAATAAAAGATTAAAGTATTTGGTAACATATTGTCAGTTTTAGTGTAGGTATTCCTTTATCCAATTTACTCCAGTTGTGGAGGTTCCTATGTGAACCATCATTTAAATTTATTTGGGTTAAAATCTCTTATGCCTACTGGCATTATATAAGAACTAGTGTTATCGTTGTAGGCCATGTAGCAAAAGTAATTCACTATGAGTTGTATTATGTATTATATCTTGATTGAGAGTAGAAGTTGTGGGTTGTTAACATAACCATGTATTTTTCTACACAAATTATCATCAAAATTATTTATATTGTTAACTGTTATCTTCATGTAATCAGGAATAATATGATGATAGGGTATAATTTTTTGGCATTGAATTTATTAATAGGTCACTTTTGTTCCTAAGTTAGGATACTTATGAACCAAAAGGTTGTATATTCTTCCCATGGTTGATTCAGTATTTAGCCTCTTTATTTGATCCATTCGTGCTTGGCAAGTCTAATTAAAAATAACCAAACTATATAAATATATATACATACACATATATAAATACAATTATTATTGTTATTATCATATTAAATTGGGCCATTCTGCATCCCCAGATTTAAAGGTTCTGTATGAACTTATGCCTTTCTATATGAATTTGAATGAATCAACAAATGTACCATCTAAAAGTAGTAATTTTTTCATTGTATGCAGACTACTATATTATATGCTCTGCATTTTCTAGTATTGAAGTAAAAGACCTAAACAATTTATTTTAATTTTGTAGAGGTAGCACTGATATATAGTGACATGCACAGATCTTAAGTGTATAATTTGATGTTTTTAAAAAGTATTTATTTGATATGTAATATTTGTACATATTTATGGGGTGCATGTGATATTTTAATATATGCATAGAATGTATAATGCTCAAGCCAGAGTAAGATATCTATCACCTTGAGCATTTATCATTTCTTTGTGTTGGGAACATTTCAAATTTTCTCTTCTTGCTATTGTGAAATATACAATATATTGTTGTTAATAAAGTCACCTTACTGTGCTTTTGAACACTAGACCTTATTCCTTCTAACTGTATAATTGTGCCCTTTAACCTACCTCTCTCCATCCCTTTCTTCCCCCAACACACCCTTCCTAGACTATGGTAACTACAATTTGATGTTTTGATCAACGTAAACACCCATGTGATCATTACTCCATTTAAGACTTCAAACATTTTCATTACCCTAGAATGTTCTCGTGTTCTCTCTTCCAGTCAGTTTTATGCCTCATAGGCAACTATTGTTCTGATGCCTGTCATCGTAGATTAGTTTTCACCTGTTCTTGAATTTCATGTAAGTGGAATCATTCAGTAGTCTGGTGTTTGACTAATTTCACTCAATATTAATGTTCTGAGCATAATGTCATTTATGTTGTTGTACGTATCAGTACTTCATTCTTCTTTATGGTCACATAGCATTCCATTTTATCACAGCACCCCTATTTGATGGATTGTGTGTTGATGGATATTTAGTTGTTTCTGTTTTTTAGATATTATAGATAAAATTGCCACAAACATTATTGTACAAGTCTTTTGTCAACATATGGTTTTATTTCTCTTGGTTAATTACTAAAGTGCAGTTGCCAGGTCATAGGATATATGTGTATTCGTAAGAAACTGTCAAAAGTTTCTAAAAACAGCTTGTGCCATTTTTTATTTCTACCAGCAAAATATGTAAGTTTCCATTGTTCTACATCCTCTGCAGCGCTTAGTATTGTCAGTCTTTTAAATTAAAGTGGTTTTAAAATCGTGTTTCATTGTGGTTTAAAGTAACATTTTTTTGGTGATTCATGATGCTGAGCACCTTTCATATACTTATTGGCTATTCACATATCTTCATTTGTAAAGTGTCTCTTCTACTGTTTTCTCATGTAAAAAATAGAGATATTTGTGTTTTTATTATTGATTTCTAAGCATTCTTTATATATCCTGGATGCATATCCTTTGTCATGTATACGCATCGCAATATTTTCTCTGAATCTCATGCTTCCCTTTTCAGTTGTTTCTTTTGATGATCATATAAGTTTTAAAATTGTGATGAAGTCCAACTTATAAATCTGTTTCTCTTTTGGCTATTTATTTATATATGTGAAATGATTTTTCCTTACCTCAAGGTTGGGAAGATAATCTCTTGTTTCTTCTAGAAGTTTCATAGTTTTAGCTTTTACGTCTAAGTTTGTGATTCTTTTCAAATTAATTTTTGTGTGTGATGTTAGGTAGAGTTTCATTTTTTCCCCCTTCATTTATTGTTCCCACATCACTTGTTCAGCACTTTCCTGGCTGAATAGCCTTGGTACCTTTGTGAAAAAACAGTTGGCCGTACTTAGAAACCACAGACTTGTCCATCTATCTAGTTTTGCCCTCTCCAGAATGTCATATAAATGGAATCATACAGTATATAGCCTTTTGGGTCTGGTTACTTTTACTTAGCAAAATATATTTGAGATTCAGTCACATTGTTGCATGTATCAGTAGTGCATTCCTTTTTACTGCTTAATAATGTCTCATTGTATGGCTGTAAAATTTTATCCAAATACTTGCTGATGGGCCTTTGGATTGCCTTTTTTTTCCTTTTTTTTTGGTAATTATAAGTAAAGATGCTTTAAACATCCATGAAAAGGTTTTTGTGTGATCATAAATTTTCATTTATCTTGGGTAAATACTTACGAGTTTGATTTCCAGATTATATGGTAAGTGTATATTTATATGGTTATATGGTAAGTGTAACTTAAGCAACTATTAAATTGTTTTTCAAAGTGACTGTATCATTTTGCATTCTCACTAGCAATGTAAGAGATTTCCAGTTGCTCTGCACCTGTGCCAGTGTATGGCTTCATCGTTTTTTTCTTTTGAATTGTATCCATTATAATAAGTGTGTAGTGCCATGTCATTGTGATTTCTATTTACATTTTCCCTACTGCCTAGTAAATTAATCATTTATTTATATGTTTATTTGCTATTTGTATATCTTTTCTGGTGAATTATCTTTTCAGATATTTTGCTCAGTTTTTAATTGGATTGTGTGTTTTCTTATCGTCAAAGTTTGAGAGTTATTTACATATCGCATGTTCAAGTCATTTGTCAGATATGTGATTTGTAAATATTTTCTACTGTTTTGTTAGCAGTACTTTTGCAAAGCAAATGTTTCAAATTTTGATGACCCACTTATCAGTTTTTTTTATGGATTATACTTTTGATGTTACATGTAGGAACTCTTTGACTAAGATTATAGGCACCAAGATTTTCTCCATTTTTTTTTTCTATATGTTTTATAGTTTTAGGTTTTACATCTAGGTCTATGATCAGTTTTGAGTTAGTTTCTGTAAAGGTTTGAGGTATGGATTAAGGTCAGTTTTTTTTTTCATATTCATGTCCATTCCAGTACCATTTATTGAAATCACTGTCCTTTACTGAATTGCCGTTGCACTTTTATCAAAAATCAGTTCATGTTTGTGTCAATCTACCTCTAGACTTTCTTGTCTATTCCAGTTATTTATGTGTCTAATTCTTTTTTTTTTCAATACTATACTGATTTAATCACTCTAACCTTTTACTAAGTCTTAAAATCAGGTAGTGTGAGTCTTCCAACTTCTTTTTTCATCAATGTCCTGAACTGTTTGAAATCTACAAGAAGGCATAGCAATTCACTTTTTTCTCTTTTCAAAAATAAAATAAAATAAAATAAAATAAATTGGCGTATATTCTGTATTGTTTACCTACATATTTGCATTTTTATCAAATATAATTGAATATACTGCAGCAATTTATTTTGGTATTGTATTTGATAAGCTGTTATTATAATACATATTATAGGACCTGTAAATTTTATTTTAGGAAATTTTATGATTAATTCTATATTTTTTACCCACAAGAGTGCAATGCAAATAAAAAAATTTCATTTTACATTACTTAATACATTTTCAAAAATTGCGTCGATAAGGACACGAGGGGGAACATATCCCCGGTTGTTATATAGGATTGTGAATTATAGAGGATGTTTGGTGTCATGAGCATAACCCTCAGTACGTTCCATCTGCTGGGAAATAAATAACTTATTCTTAGAGTCTTATGTTTAATGTTTGGCCATTGTAAAGAAGTGATTAGTAAAAGACACTAAATTAAAGTAAAAAACAATATTTGGATTTGATTGATTTTATATGAAAAAATGTAAAAGATGTTAGAAAAGTAATGTTTGTAAGAATCTAATATTTCTAAGACTTTTTTAATGTCTAAGCTTTAAAACAATTAGTGTAAATGCTACTAGAAAAATGAAATTTGCAGAGAATGCAGCCTGATTTTACTATCACAGCATGTTTTTAGTATTGGGTAAAGTTTGCTAGCCACATGTTGGGTAGTTCTTGAATTTAAATACGTTGGAGCCATCATGTAAATGTATCTCAAGTGTCTGTGCCTACTAAAGTATCTGGGCCCAGTGCCACATACCATTCCATTTACTAATTTTGCTTTTGTAATCTTAGTATTTATGTTCTTGTTTCTTTTCTGTTTGAAAAAGATAGTTATTGGAACAAGAACTTCCTTTCTAGAAGTAAAGTTTTTTTACTGTCAAGTAAGAGTTACCCTTGATGTAATGTTTATTGTAAACACTTTAGATTTATTTGACATTTTAGTAAAAATCAAGTGAGTTTAGAATGGAGAACAAAACTCAGGGAAA